TCAAGCGTATTTTCTCTATGAAAAGTTCATTAAAAACATAATCAATGGAAGGAAGTGGATTACAATTTAGGATTGACTCACGGAGTCCCTCAAAAATCATCACGGAGAGCTATAAAAAACTGAACTAGAAGTTATCGCTCTCTACGGTTAATATATGGCAAATGAACTCGAAGTTCATCATCCTCCTAAAGATTGGTCATCAGAATAAAATTCTTGAACACTTATATTTTTCTGTTCTAGTGCCCAAATATCAGTTTCCAATTTGTATTCCGTTGCAAAATTAGACTGTGAACAACATTGCTAAGTGATCCCAAATTTCCTTAACTGTTTCATATTTTGCTAATCGTACACCAATAGAATGTTCAACAAAATTACATATGCAAGTTGTAATTTGGCATTATTCACGTCACAAGTACGAAGAATTTCTACCAACTTATCATTTTCATTTTCATCGAGCTTAGCTTGGGTCTTAATATCAGTAACATAATTCCGCAATGATTTTCCATTCAAAATTTTTTCTAAACAAAATTCTAATATGAATAATTTTTCCCATCTAATCTCACAGTAATCGACATAAGCGAATCAAATCTTGCACCCGCCATCATAAAAGAGTTCAACAAATAACCAACAAACAACACAATAATATCTCAAACAAATATAAAAGCCCAATCAAATATCAAATTCAAAAATGTAGAAAGTCATGCATGAGAAGAATACCGAACATTAATTCGTGATAATGCAGATGTTGTTTATCGTAATTCAGATCCACGAGAGTTGTGGGTTATATCAACACTTCTTCCGTTATACCATGAAACATAGTATTCATTTGGTTTAGGGCTCTGATACAATGTTGATTTTGTGATTGCAAGCAATATGGAAAAAGAATAAAGCAGAAGGGAAGCTAGGGTTTCCAATCACCAAATGAGAAAAAGTTATACAAAAGAGAGATTAAGAGAGCTAAGGGAGGTGTATTCAATTGAGACTTTTAAAAACTTATTGCAATTTAAAAAGTTTAGGGGCATTTAATGTAAACTTTTATAAACTCTCTAAAAGTATTGGTGTATTCAATCGAGACTTTTATAAACTTTTAAAAAGTCACGGTGTATTCAATTAAATTTTTTAAAAAATTTCTATAAATCACGGGGTATTCAAATTTTTAATGACTTTTATAAAATTCTCGAGGATACTAATATAAACAAACAATTATTATAACACCGATAGCCGTCAGAGTAATACTTTCAAGAAAATCAACTTTTAAGTATACCTACAAGTTTTAAATAAATAATTATTTTATTGATTGAAGTTTAAAATATGTAATCCTTTGACATTATAATTAGCATTACTTTCCGCAAATATAAAAAAAATTTAAGTTAACAAACATGTTTGGAGGTAATAAGAAAATTAAGTTAATAATTTTGAAATGATGCACTATCTCAAAATAATAATAAAAATATTATTATTATTTTTCTATTATCTTATTTTAACATTTTTTGTTTTTAATTAATTAAATCAACAAGCCAATAATTTTGAAATGATGCACCACGGAAAATGAACTTAAACAAGCACAATAGTCGGAAATCATGAAAACAATATTATGGCTTCTCTGGTAACAGTTTTAAAGAAGGAAAAAGATAAAAATATCTTATTTGTAGTATTGTCGAATTTATTCGAATATTCGGTCAGTAATGCTAAACTTATTAGGAAGGAACAAAATGACAAATGTTTCGATGTAATAGGAGAGCAATTAGCATATTTTTCAAGTTAAAGCAGAGGGACAAGAAAGTACTATTTTGAGAAAGAGTTGAACAGCCACAATAAAAACTATATTAAACTTAGTGTCGCAGTAATTTTTTCTCTTTGATAAGTTTTATTGAAATCTCAAATGCAACTAAGAGATGACAAAATATGCAATCAAATGAATTATCACTAACACTACAAGAAACTGCGGCTTCAGCGACGGAAATATCCGTCGCTGAAGCCCCAAATTCCGTTGGTGATACTCTTCAGAAACGGAATGTGCCCGTCGGTAAAAACCGTCGGCAAAAGCCCCGACGCTAATCCGCAGCGACGGATTTGTATGCGTCGTCGGTGATAGCGACAAAAAGGCTTGTCGCTAACAGCGACGGAAAAGGTGTTGCTAATTACCAACACAAATGTCCGTAGCTAGATAGCGACGGAGGTCCCGTCGCTGAAGTGTCTGTGATTAACGACAATGGAATTACTCGCCCCTAAAAATAGCTACGGCTCTTCCGTTTTTGTTTTAGTCGCTAATTGCCAACAAATTTCTGACGGAACTTATTGTTTCTAAATAGGTACGGATCTTCCGTTCCTGTTTCCGTCGCTAAGTACCAACGTAAATTTCCTACGGGTTAATTGTTCCTAAAATAGCTACGAATATGCCGTTGTTGTCGTCGTCGTTGAAAACCAACGTCTTTCCTAAGAAACTAATTGTTTCTATTAGCTACAAATCTTCCGTTTTTGTTTCCGTCGAACCACAATTGTTATGGAATAAGTTTAGAAGTTATATGTTCGAAGATTAAAATGTATACATTCTTTATTAGAACCATTGAATAAAAGTATAAATCATTACACTACAAGAAACTGCGGCTTCGCTGAAGCCCCGAATTCCGTTGGTGATACCCTTCAAAAACGGAATGTGTCCGTCGGTAAAAACCGTCGGCAAAAGCCCCGACGCTAACCCGCAGCGACGGATTTGTATGCGTCGTCGGTGATAGCGACGAAAAGCTCGTCGTTGGCAGCGACGGGAAAAGGTGTCGCTAATTACCAACACAAAATGTCCGTAGCTAGATAGCGACGGCGGTTCCGTCGCTGAAGTGTCTGTGATTAATGACGATGGAATGACTCGTCCCTAAAAATAGCTACGGCTCTTCCATTTTTGTTTTACTCACTAATTGCCAACAAATTTCTGACGGAACTAATTGTTTCTAAATAGGTACGGATCTTCCGTTCTTGTTTTTGTCGCTAAGTACCAACGTAAATTTCCTACGGGTTAATTGTTCCTAAAATAGCTACGAATATACCGTTGTTGTCGTCGTCGTTGAAAACCAACGTCTTTCCTACGAAACTAATTGTTTCTATTAGCTACGAATCTTCCGTTTTTGTTTCCGTCGAAAATTTGGTTTACAATTTAAAAAATTAAATTAATTATTATATTAATATATTTCTATTGTGAATTAAAACTACTTAAGAAGATCAAGTATATAAAATAAAATAAACAAATACGAATATTTTCATTCCATTACTTCAATGTTCGAAGTTACACAAAATGAGATCAGTCAATACAAAAATTATATACCTGATCAATTAGCAAAAGGAAATTCTAAGACATTCAATGGTGAATTTTATAAACAAAATAAACATTATCTATGCCCAACCATTGAATATCATTGTGGTGAAATGACTAATCTTTTAACCCATTCCTTTCTCCCAACATTCGAAGTATGGTTTGTTCGAATTCAATGCGCTTCTTCTCTTCTTCCCGCCTACTATCTTCCATTTTTTGTAGTAATCCATCATTTTCCCTTGTAAGTTGATCTATCTTCTCACAAGCGGAACGAAGTTCCTCTCGTAAAGTGATGCAATCTAATTGTTCGTCACATGGAACATTAGATGAACTAGAGAAGGTGACATCTTTGTGCAAAGAGTTTCGTTGAATATCAAGCCCATACACGCGACCACCTTTACAAGGAGCTTGAGTCGCTTCACACCATGCTTCAATATCAACTTCAGGTTCTGACACAGTTGACCCATATTTTTCATGCATTGCAACGTCATATTTTTCCTGTAAAACAAGAAGCAACTCAACTTTATAAAAGGGAAAAAAAAGCGTGAATTATTGTATATAGGTGAAACTAGTTAAGTGGTAAAATAACATGCAATCACTTTTACATAATTAGCAAAAGGCACTTTTAATGCAGCCACAGTAACTCCAATATTCCTCAACAACCAGATTGGACAGATCATGATTAACGTAGCCAACTTGTTTATCATGTCATTTATACAAACACAGGAAATTTGCAACAATCAACACCCATATTAAACTAGGCAATAACCAACATAAGCTTAAAGTGCTCAAGGTATGTCCAGTAGACTAGCACTACGGATTGCCTCAAATGTTGTTCTCATTTGGATCATGAAACTTAGAGTCCACATTGTCTAATCAGAACTGAATTTATTCTACTTACCCACACAATTCGAGACTTGTTGTCTACGAAGTCTCCTTCTCCTTTGTTTCGACGGTGTACACGTTGAAATAACTGTGAAGCAGTAGGTGGCTTACCTAATTTCTCATGCTGAAAACAATAAACAAATGAAGAGTTAACGAGGACTTACACCAATATGCTGAATATGAAGTAACTCACCAGAACATACTTATTGAATATGTTAGTCTTTGTTAGAAGCAACTCATTGCTCATTTTAGACAGAACATACTTATTGAATTTATAAAATGACCAAGTTAAACATTACCAGCCTCTGCTTGTGGGCAGCAAATGTTATTGAACCAGAAGTGTGCTTGGTGATGCTTCCTGACTTTATAGTCAGCCGATTATCACGGCCAAGTGTAGACTTCTTCATCCATCCTTCATTGTTCCACTTTTTCTCAATTATATCATTCCAGTGCTCTACGCTTAACCATGGTGGTCCATATCCCTTCCAATCCATTATATTTTCAGACCTACTCTATTCCCGAGCCTTCTTTCGAGCCATGCAAAATATATCTCGTAGTCGATCAGTTCAAGCAGTATTCCATGCCTTCTTCACCTCATTATCTTTATTTTTTGGCCATGAGTATTGTTGCTAATGTAGGAGCCAACCATTAGTATAGAAACAACAATGAAAATTTATAGGGACAATAAATATATTTAGAAGAAACTTATATTACTTGAAATCTTTCCCACAAGAACTTTTTTGTGTCAACCGGCACCAAACTGAACGTAGGATAAGGTCCTCCCAAGTAAGCCTTCAAATTGGCACTTACATCACGTGATGTCAAGATAGTAATGAATCTGCAAGAAGAACTGAAAATACATAACCGAGATAGGAATGAATCTGCTAGCCAGCAAAGCAGCTGGTGAATACATGTGCTTCCACCTGCTACAGCAGCAGGTTTATAATTCCAGTTGATCAGGTTCTATCTACCAATTTCCCGTTTACTTTCTACTTTTAATTTATTAATAGGGCTGCACAAATTATCAGAGTCCAGTAGGCATTAGTTTTCATTTCTGGGGTTAATAGTTCAGCTATGGTAAATAAATTACGCCGGGCCTGTAGTATCTGCCAGTAGAGTTTTTATCCTGTCGGAATCATTAGTTTTTATCTTAGACTTGTTTAGAAAATGGAATCTCAGTATGAATGCAAAAAATGTCGAATTTCAGCCCTTAAGGTCCACATGAAGAATATGCACCAGCAAAAATGTAAAAAATAGATGATAAATAGAACTTACCAAAGCACCCTTCATACAAAATAATCAGAATATTACTAACTTGATTCAATAATAAGCTAATCAAAATCAACACTGATCAACAATACACTCAACTATCACTAGTTCCATTTCAATCATCAACGCTGATTAACAATAAACTCAAAAGCAATTTTGGCTTCTCAAAAATCATGTTACTACAAACTGAATTTCATCCAACTCCAAAGATCTATTACAATTCTGAATTCAAATGATCCAATTAAACGACAAATCAGTAACCCAACAACTTCACTTTCATCCTCATTACAACAAAAAATGGGTAATTGTCAAGAATACAGGATAACCAGTTGGATTCTTAACTCGTACTAGTAAACAAATAATCACAGGGTCATCACTATACATTACAGGAAATGACAGAAACTATTGTATAAGAATTAAACAATAGTTTATAACCCAAATCATTGTTACTAGAACTTTCCCCCAAATGACTGGACTGCTCTTCATAAACTCCAGCCAACAATATGCTGATTTTACACGAGAGTTGTACTGGTTCAACAGTCTCCTATGTTATTTTGGCTCCAGTTCATACGAAAATTTTTATTTAGTTCCCTCTTCATGAATCATCTATAATTCCAAAATACTAGAACAGGGCAAGAGCAACAAAATTCTTTTCAAAGCAAACTTTCTTTGTACATGGCCATGATGTTAATTTTTTTATTTTTTATCCTTATCACCAAATCGATTCACTGAAAGCATCATTTCAGCATACACAACATTTCTGATGTCTACATAGAAAAGTAAAAATCAACGTGTCCATTTAGCATTCAAACGGAAATCCCCAAAAAAAATTGGCAAATACATACCTATTGCCTCCCATGGTTAAAGAAATTCTACCAGATTCATCCGCAAAAACATTACTACCATGGTTAGGACCCCTTTTTCTACAATCTTCTCCATCAGCATCCTCGTCTGCAGAAAGAGACCCATCAGTATCCTCAGATCCATTCTCCATCCAGTCACTATCCTCCTCATCTTGTACTGTTGGAACCCTAGGCATGGAACTCCATCTTACTCTCGTAGTCATCATGAACTGAAGTCGGTATGAGGGAAGATGGAGGGACAAGTAAATGTCGGAATGATGGAAAATGGAGCGAAACTGGAAAACGGAATGGCTCCAGCGGAAGAAATTATGGAGCAGGACTGAATGGTGGGAAAATGGGGGGGAAATGCTGTGTATGGTGGGGGGAAAGAGGGAACTAATGTAGGGGAAAAAGAGGGAAATAATGTAGGGAAAAAATAGGGAAATAATGTATACATTGACGCCAAAAAATTGGAGGGAATGGTTCAAAATTTTGGGTAATTGTTGGACTGGACGGATCCAGTGGACAAGGCCCAATTTGCATTCTTTTTTTTTAAAGGTAATTTATTTTTCTTTTTCGTAAGACCAGTTTTTTATGTGTAATTTTTTTTTTTTTAATTTCGTGTATTATCCCTGGATCCGTTTCTCTTTTTTGGAATTATATATGATATGTTGAACTTCATGCATTGAAATTCATTTTTTTAAATACAACGTCAAGAATCAACGAAACGTTTCGTATTTCCATGAATCAAGCCAACGTCAATTGAATTGTGTTACCTTCGAAAGCATATCAGTTTTAAATGGATAACCTTAATTCCTATTCAATTCAAAAAGTGTGCCGTAAGTAGTAAGATTATCACCTTTCAAAACATATCACTTTTTTAAATGTTTTATTCGGGAGATAAATATACGATGAAATCATTTTTATAGAACGTCGTCTCCCTCTTCTTCCATCTCAACCTTGTGTTGGGTTTAAGTCCACTTGATGTGGGCTTAAGGCTTTGATGAAAGCCTAAAACTGTTTGTGTGGATGTGTTGGTTGGTTAAGAAGACACACCCGAAAAAGAAACCGATAGAGAAGAAAAACAGAGAAAGGAAAAGGGAAAATAGAGGTAGTTTGCAATATTCAACGGTAAATTCTCTTTCGATCTCATTGAAATTTCATTATGTCATTGTCAACTTTTTCGTACTACGTATCTATCGGTTTGGATCGTCGATTCCCCTCTTGTATTTCTTCATTTGTCCAGAGTTCCAAACTTTAGTTTGATGTATTTTTTGTTGAGATCCAATTTTTTTGTGTGTCGGTGGTTTACCGTCACCTCGTGGTTTTTCCAATTGCCTTGGGGAGTTTTCCATGTCAAGAATCGGTGTGTTGTATTTTCCTTAATCGTTTAGAACCAAAAATATACTTGTATTTTTTTTAATTAAATTTATTGGCCAATGAGATTTATAGGCCTGTCTGTTCTTGATTTTTTGCCTGATGTTAAGCATTTTTATGGCCGGTGGAAGGGCACTCAGCCGCAATTATTGACTATATCCAGCTCTCACGTGGGGCTACTAACGATTAATGAATCAATTATAATCCAAGGAGAAGAAGCAGCACCAGACAGGCGCTTAGTTTGGTATTTCCATGGACCGGTATAGGACGATTGGAAGTTCCTATTAGATTACAGACCAATTGTTCGATTACAGATATGTGGGCTAATACAAAGTCCATCTCCAAGCCCATCAAGTAGCCCAATGAGCAAAAAAAAGTTCGTCCCAATAGGAGGTGATGTAACCGTGTGATGTTTAAAATAATTCATAATGGAACTTTGTTTCATAATTATTATTTTATTACGTTATTATCTAACTTAAGTTTTAAAGTTTGAAATATAATTTTTTATTTAAAGAATAGAAAATTTTTATTCAGTAAATTGTTAAATATGTGAAATTTGCTATCTTAGATTTACTTATGTTCTAACATATTAATATATAATCACAATAAAATATGGTGTTTCAATTTATTTATTTTTTCAAAATAATAATGCATTGAATTAATTTAATGAATATTTTAATATATTAATTCTTCTGAACAGATTATTACAATTGTTACGGATTAGAATAAAGCTGCAAGTACAGGGAATCTCAACATAATAAAAATAGGGTGCTGACGTGACAGCACCACATTGGCCTGTTTTTTTTTTTTTTCCTTCCAATGCAAATCTACCAAGTGTTTTTCATGTTAAAATTCTGTTGAAATTCCCTGTACTTGTAGCATTGCTCAATTAGAATTAGGCATGTCAAAAGTTTTTGAAGCTCAATAGTTAGTTAGGATTATAAAATGCATGCCACCGCCAAACGGTAAAAGTAATCAACTATAACATGACTTAAAATATAGAATTTCTCAAATTTTACCGTCGAAAAATTACAAAGACAGTAACTTGCCGTATTTTTTCTTTAAACTTCTATTAGCGTGAGTTTGATTGCGAATATGAAATTTGTATAAAAATTATTAATTAAATGTGTTTGTTTTATTTAGTTTTTCAATTTAAAAAATATTATACTTGTCCATTTTTTATTGGTGAGTAGATGAGGGAGATGTGATAGATGAAATAGAGAAAGAAATAGTGAAATTACCTGAAAAGTAAAAATTACTCATTCCTATATTTTTGAAAAAAATATAATCACACAACCAAAAGTTGAAAAATATTTTCCAGAAAAAAAAATTGTCAATCAAACACCCCAAAAGTAAAAATTTGAGTTGAAAAATAAAGTTAATCAAATACACTCTTAATGTTGTGCCTTTACAATGTAGAACATAAATCAATATCTTTCAATTTACTCTTATTTGTGTGAATTATCCTAATTTTTAATATGCATGCAATTTATTTGAGCTATTCAGAATTTATAATTCCCAATATTTTCAAATTTCACTAAACTATCGAACCCGTAATAAACAATTTACTCAGAATCTAAGTCCTAAGAGGAACCTTTCTCTTGAATTGCCCTCGGTTTAACCAGAGTTCCAAACTTTAGTTTGATATATTTTTTGTTGAGATCCAATTTTTTTGTGTGTCGGTGGTTTACCGTCACCTCGTGGTTTTTCCAATTGCCTTGGGGGGTTTTCCATGTCAAGAATCAGTGTGTTGTATTTTCCTTAATCGTTTAGAACCAAAAATATACTTGTATTTTTTTTAATTAAATTTATTGGCCCATGAGATTTATAGGCCTGTTTGTTCTTGATTTTTTGCCTGCTGTTAAGCATTTTTATGGCCGGTGGAAGGGTACTCAGCCGCAATTCTTGACTATATCCAGCTCTCACGTGGGGCTACTAACGATCAATGAATCAATTATAATCCAAGGAGGAGAAGCAGCACCAGACAGGCGCTTAGTTTGGTATTTCCATGGACCGGTATAGGACGATTGGAAGTTCCTATTAGATTATAGACCAATTGTTCGATTACAGATATGTGGGCTAATACAAAGTCCATCTCCAAGCCCATCAAGTAGCCCAATGAGGAAAAAAAAGTTCGTCCCAATAGGAGGTGATGTAACCGTGTGATGTTTAAAATAATTCATAATGGAACTTCGGTTCATAATTATTATTTTATTACGTTATTATCTAACTTCAGTTTTAAAGTTTGAAATATAATTTTTTATTTAAAGAATAGAAATGTTTTATTCAGTAAATTGTTAAATATGTGAAATTTGCTATCTTAGATTTACTTATGTTCTAACATATTAATATATAATCACAATAAAATATGGTGTTTCAATTTATTTGGGCTTTTTCAAAATAATAATGCATTGAATTAATTTAATGAATATTTTAATATATTAATTCTTCTTCTCTCCCGAGTTCAATATGATTTTAATTGTAGTTTAAACGTAGCTTTGGATTTTGAATTGAAGTTTGAAGTGCAGCTATTTTCGAATTGTTTAGTTTTACTTTTTTGTACAATTAGTTGTTGGTGAGACCGAGCCTTCCTAAGTATGCATTTTGTGGTGAATTATGTTGGAGTTAGGGGCCTAATTAATGATTAAAGTAAATGTACGAATAGGAAAGCAAGTGATGTCCACTTTTAATTGTTCAAAAAATGAGAATGTATTTTAATTTATTAGATAATTAAAAGTGGCTCGTGTTATCGTCTATATTGGTGTTAAATATTACTTTTTCGAAATAAATTATTCTAAAATAAGTAACGCGTAACCATCTTGTGATTATGACTTTCATGCTAATAATAATAGCATCAATGTATATGGATCACTACCGTCTGCATGTGTCTTTTCCTGACTATACTTCATTAACTTTCGTGCTTTGCCAATTACCCATACACGTGATGAGTCGATAGGACATTATGTAATGATTAATTTAAGTCGGTAACATAAGTTCTAAATTAAGTAATTACTTGCCTCAGCTTTTGAACATGGGTTTTATTTTATTGGACCATTTTCTTGAAGAAGTCAAATCACCCTATATGAAATTCTCAATTCTCCTTTGTGAATTCACGCAGCCCTTTTGCACAGGAAAAGTCGTTACTGCTCTTCCACCACTAGAGTATGCATAGTCAAAAAGCTCTTTCATGGGAGTATGAACTTCATCAATATACCTGTCCCCCAGTCTCCTTTTGCGTACATAAACTAGAATTTCTTAATCATATATATCAACATTAAAACAGCAAGGTTAGATTAGAGCTACACTGATCCATATATATCCAAAAGTTAGCTAGATTACTCCCCAAACACAGAAAAAGATGAGCCCAGAAGCTGTCTATTTGCACTCATTTCCTTTCAGATTTAAAGGAAACAAAAACAAAAACAAAAATAAAAATCATAAGTTCCTGATTCATGGCTCCAGCTGTTGTAGTATCTCCAATTCCAAGTTCCTGCTTTGGCTTGATAAGTTTTAATGTTGATGTCAGTTATATAGATACCATAAAGATGGTTTTACTATATAACAAAAATTGTTTAACATAGATAAAATATAGAGAAAACAGCAACAAAGGAAGCCCATTGATCCATTTTACAAAGGATTTAGAGGAACTATAGAGAAAACAGCAACAAAGGAAGAGACTGGGTAGTTGATGGAACCCAATTAATGTGTAATTTTCGATTGCAAGTGTTAAGAATGATTGCTAGCTCCATTCAGGATGAAGCTAGTGTTAGTAGCTCCATCCAGAATGGAGCTAGTGGCCAGCTCCATCGTGGATGGAGCTAGGCTGGAGCTAGTGCCTAGCTCCATC